GCTGAACGGGGAGGGGCCATGAGAGAAGCTGTACTCTTTCCCTCTTGGGGAGATTGAACCTAGACATCCCTCTGTGCTCTGACACCCCCCACCCCCCACCCCCCCACCCTCTCCTGGTGCGTCGTGGTGTAAGTTTGTGGCGCGGCAGCAGCTCAGCTCAGGTTCGCCAGCGGCGTGCAAGTGAAGAAGTTTGGGGGTGTTGTTGCTGAAGGTTTTGCCTGAAGCATCTTCTTTTAGTCCCGGCCCCCCCCCCCCTCTGCATCCCTGTCATACTTCCCTTGTTGAGAAGTGCAGAGACGGAGCAGAACTGTGGTGTTTTACTCTGAGAAGAACTGAAACATTCCAACGAGCAGTTTGTGCTTAAAGGAGCATCAATATCTGTTTGTGGTCTCGTTTTCATTACTGAGCAGATTTTAGAGACAGTTCAGATGCACCAATCAAACACCTGTCAGCTGCTCTGATGCCTCCTCTCAGGGCATTTGCTCCATCTCTTGTTTCTCATTTTTCTTTAAGGTAACGTGGCACTAAAAACTGAACCACGTAAACGACGGAGCGAACAGACTTTTTAAAATGACTTTGACAAAGAAAGTGTATTTAATAAGGATGCGTCTCGTCGTGGCTGATCCTCACTGAGAGCTCTGTTACCTCACACTTCAGGGCAACAACACTGAGGATAGATGAATATAAATTCCCCTGGCTGCTCCACTTTCATGCAGGGTGGGGGGGGGGCTCTAAACTGCCAGTAGGTGTGATACTTGTCCAGATGTCTGCAGATGTTTTCCCTGTGACAGACTGCTGTTCTGTCACTCTGTCCTCCTCAGTGTGAGCAGGTGTACAGGATGCATGGAGAGAAACGCCACTGTCCACGTGTGTTTACAATAATGTGTGTGTGTGTGTGTCTGCCTTAAGAAGCACAGTGTGAGGAGTCTGTGTTACGCCTGAGTGTGCACGTGTGTGTTTGTGCAACAGCATCGTGCGACACCATGATTAAGTGTTTTGAATAATTGATGATTGCACCCCTCATTAAGTCTCAGTCTTCTGCTCCGACAGGCTCTGGCTCTATTTTTATGCACCAGAATCCTCCTCTGTCCCGCTCCCCTCCACAGATGTGGCCGATCCATCACTCACTCCAGGCTCTGCTGATGGGGGTCCAGAGGGGCTGTGGGGGGGGGGTTTAAATCATGATGAGTGGACATGTTCAGCAGGCCGGCTGCACAGTGAACTGTAGCTCAGTGATGACGGCTGCAACAGGCCGAGGTGTGTGAGCGTGACTGTGTCTGCTGTCACTCCCTCTACACTGTTTATTCATTCATTCAGCATTTGCTGATGCATAAAATTAAAGTAAAGATGCCATGAAAATAAATGAAAATGGTATTTACTTGCATCCAGAGGGTCGGGGGGTGTGTGTGTGTGTGTGTGCCATACTCGGCTGATCGTGAAAAGCCATTACCATACTGCTGACACCAGCCTGCTTCTGTGCACCACGAGCAACCGTGAATCACTAAATCACTCCGGCAGAGGACGGAGCTGAAGTCCCGCCTCCACGTGTTGCTGAGCGCTGGGAGTGAAGGGCGACGTGCAGCGGGTCTGGATGTGCACAGACCGATCTGAAGCTGCACGTCTGCGGAGAGGAAAACGCGTGAATTGCTAAATTATCAGTCACAACACAAACGCAACCGTGGAGCTCAGCAGAAGAAAGAATGTGTTTTACATGTGTTGGTGGTGAAGATGAGACTAATGCAGACTGCTGCAGTCGGGCTGAAGGAGATCAGACCGTCAGACACACACAAGCAGAATCAGAGGGTGAATTTGTTAATAAAGGCAGCCTGTCAGCACAGCTTCCCTTCTGCATGAAGAAGACAGACTTACACACATTGTTGAGCAGGACCCATTTACATTTTTGCACATTAACAGGGCTGAGGAGACACACACACACACACACACACTGGGGAGGTACAGGGAGAACAGGATTCGTTTTCATCTATTTCCCCTTAAAACATGAGAAAGAAGGAATTCCCCAAAGAGAGAGCAGAGCTTTGATATCTGCAGCCCCGTGTCTGTAAATAGGTTAGGTTAAGGCACTGTGTGTGTGTGTGTGTGTGTGTGTGTGTGTGTGTGTGTGTGTGTGAGTGTGTGTGAGTGTGAGTGTGAGTGTGTGTGATGTTTGTGATCTGCATGTGCATGTGAGTCTGTCATCTTGTGGGGTATCCTATTTCTGGCAGGAGGTTGTGGGTGGGAGAGTGTGTGTATATATATATATATATATATGTATGTGTGTGTGTGTGTGTGTGTGTGTGTGTGTGTGTGTGTGTGTGTGTGTGTGTGTGTGTGTGTGTGTGTGTGTGTGTGTGTGTGTGTGTGTGTGTGTTTGTGTGTGTGTGTGTTTACCTTCTCCTGATGAGGCCTCTGCTGCAGGTTGCTTGTAGTGATGGAGGCAGGCGGGGAGCCGTGTGGAGCGACCCTCCTGCAGAGTGCTGCTGGTGGCCTGGCCGTCCTCACCGTCCTCACCGTCCTCACCGGCCTCCAGGCTGCAGGAGCTGCTGCTCTCTCCACGTGAGAGCTGCACAGAAACCATGCTGAGCTGCTGTTTGTCTGTGTGTGGTACAGACCTAACCACTGTTGAAGCCTAAAGTCTTTTATTTTTTTATGATTCAACCTCAAGAGGAATTGTCTGAGATCCGCCCTCAGCCTCGCTGTGGTCGTACGCTCGTCTGATTTCAAAAGTCCTGCCACGTTCAGCTCTTTTCATTTAGCGCTGTTAGCTCTAAATGCTAATAGAGTTCTGAACATTGGAAGTAAGAGTTTGGAGTTTGATTCATTTTCTAGTTCTTGTTCTTAGTTTCATCATCAAACAGCAGCCACAGTGTTTCACCCTCTGACTTCCATGTCTGTGTGTGTGTGTGTGTGTGTGTGTGTGTGTGTGTGTGTGTGTGTGTGTGTGTGTGTGTGTGTGTGTGTGTGTGTGTGTGTGTGTGTGTGTGAATGCTGTTCATCTTATTTTGGATTGGGGCTGCAACTAAAGATCGTTTTTATAATTGATTCATTATTTTCTAGATTCATTGATTAGTTCAGGTTTTAACACTGAGGTTGATCAACACTGTAGATCAACCCACTTCCTCTTCCTCTAACCTCCTCACTGTTGCTCCTCCTCCTTCCTTCTTCCTCCCTTTTAATATTCTAAACTGATCCACGGCTTTCTGTAACCAGGACGTCCACGACTCTCCAGCTCCTGTTCCGCTGGTCAGAAACCAGAGACCTGCGAACATCCGCAGCATTAAGATCAATGTCCTCAAGAAAACTTGTTAGTGGATCAGAATCATCTTTAATCTATTGAATTTTATTTGACCATTTATTGATGAGTGGCAGGTGGAACAGGAGCTGGGGCAGGAAGAGGAGCAGGAGCTGGGGCAGGAAGAGGGGCAGGAGCTGGGGCAGGAGCAGAGACAGGGGCAGGAGCTGGAGCAGGAGCTGGGGCAGGAGCTGGGGCAGGAGCAGAGACAGGGGCAGGAGCTGGGGCAGGAGCTGGGGCAGGAAGAGGAGCAGGAGCTGGGGCAGGAAGAGGGGCAGGAGCTGGGGCAGGAGCTGGGGCAGAAGCATGAGCTGGGGCAGGAGCTGGAGCAGGAGCTGGAGCAGGAGCTGGGGCAGAAGCAGGAGCAGTGGCTTGTTTTGAGCAACAAAATGATTTTATTGAATCTGATTAGTTATTTGTTGTTGTCCAAAGGTTAATGAGTTTTTTAAATATGTTTCACACCTAATTTATTTTGCTTGTTTTGTGAAAATAGTTCATGTCAGTGGTTTTAACGACGTTATCAGGTGGTTCAGGTGAAGCAATCGTTACATGATCACTTTAAAGAGCCTTTAATGATTAATCTGTAATTGATCGTGAACGAGGAGAAGTCTGTCTGTCAGTCTCATGCTGACGTCTCCCTCTGCGCTTCATTTACTGCTGGACAAAGTGCAGCGATATGAGGCAGTTATATGAGTGTGATACTGAACTTTAACTCCGAGCTCATGTTCTCAGATCTCTATCTGTCACACACACACACACACACACACACACACACACACACACACACTTGTTCTCTAACCTCTATCAGTTGATCTTTCTCCCTTTCCTCACTTCTCTCTCGGCCTCAGTCTGTGTCTCTCCTCTCTGCTCTTTGTCTCGTCCTGAGTCGGTCGGACCGGCGGACGTGAGCTGACGCTGTGTTTCACCTGCTGCACATCGTAGACCGGTGGGTGTGAGTGTTTCATATCCCTCGTTCCTGCTGTTGAGGTAAATCTTTGCTTTTTTATAGATTGACTGGCTGTTGATCGACTTTTATTCCTCTTGGTTTTGCTCGTGCGCTCAGTCAGCTGACATTTCAAGGATCATTTAACCAGCGGGTCCCTGAGACGTCACCACATCGTGTTTGATTGTTAATGTAGTTAAAAGAGAGATCGTTCATTTACCGTTCACCGTCTGAACCGTGACAGGAAGTAACAGTGGATAACCTTTCGCACACGCAGCCGTGGTTATTCATCAACGAGTACCGCTCACAGGAGAAGCGTGTCGCAGATAAGGAGACTCTGAAACAGGGTCAGGACACAAAGGTGGTTGGGGGGGGGGGGGGGCGGGGAGGGGGGGGTGAAAGATGGACAGAGCACAGATACTGAGAAAGGTAATGTAGAGGAGGAGGAGGTGTGTGATTATTCATTATTGAGATGGCAGGAGAGCTGAATGAGTGCAGCCACTAATCTAACTGAGCCTGATGGACAGAACACAATTACTCTGAGAGAGTGGGAGGTGGGCGAGAGAGAGAGAGGGTGAGGAGGGGAGAGGGAGAGGGGGGAGGATAGAGAGCCAGCACACCCCCCCCCCCTTTTATTTTTTTCTCTCTTCATTTCTTTTTTTTCTCTCCCTTCGCCTGGCAGACTTTACTGTAGCTGTAGATGATTTCTGGGCATTAAGCTCCTGTTGGCAGCATCCTGTTTATCCAGCCACACACATGTACAGTGAAGACACACACACACACACACACACACACACACACACACACACAGATCCTCACATCACACACTCGTTGCCTGTTGGCAGCGCCTCCGTTTACGGACGTCCAGTCCACAGCTCGCGCCCTTCTCCTTCCCTCCCTCCAGTCTGAGTCTCCTCTGCAGACTGACGTCTAAATCCAGACGCACTAAGTCCACGTCCTGCTCTGCTGCTGCTTTTAGCTTGTGTGCTGATTCCAGGTCAGACCGCCACTACAGCGCCGCTGCTGTCTTTTCACGGTGCTGCTCTTTCCAGCACGTGTGTACTTGTGTGTGTACGTGTGTGTGTACATGTGTGTGTACGTGTGTGTGTACATGTGTACATGTGTGTGTACGTGTGTGTGTGTGTGTGTGCGCATGAGGCGGGGAGTTTGTACGGCTCGACATGGACCGCCTTGAGAAATTAGCTTGTTGTCCCCTCCAGGGACTGTAGCTTAGATGTAGAACTCTTCCCGAGTCTCGGGAGGAGCGACCATATGTCTGGAGCCGAGCAGACGTCTGTGCTGCAGCAGATTTTTCATTTCCAGCTTCACAGTCTCGGTTCTTGCTCATCTTCACTGGTGGACTGGAGGCTGTGCTGTGTGCAGGTGGGCAGACAGAACCTAACCTCTCAACCTACTCACTATTTTTTCTTGATGCAAATTAGAGCTGAACAATTAATCAAAATATCATAATAATTATATTATATTATACTATATATATATTATATAAGGTTTGTCACAACATACTTAAATGAAGCGTTGTGAGATACCCAGACCTATAGATCATATTCTCATAACAGTGTCCAACCTTCTTCACTCTGAGCTGCTCATGTCTTATATTAAACTCAAACTCATCTCCAAACCAAATCAGATCCAGATGATCTTTTCATAAGTCATCAAATATCAACATCCAGAACTCAAACTTCACACACTTCATTTTCCTAAATGTAAACAAACAAGGGCTTAAAATAATCCACAGATCAACTGCAGGACAGATGTTAGGGCCACACTGAGGAAAAACTAAAACTGAAATTTAGAGAATAAAGTCGTAATTTTGACGATAAAATTATAATAAAGAATAAAGTCGCAATTTTTTACGAGATATAGTCAAAATGTTTCAAGAAAAAAGTTAATTTTAGGTTATGTGTTATTTTAGAGGGAAATATCAGAAGCTTTAAACTGAGGAACGTGGAGCCTCCTGTTCAGGAGAATATGATTGAGGTGTGTTCAGAGCAGATTGACTGAGTGAAGTCGTGTTGCTTAAAGTTTGAACCACACATTGTGTTTTGTTCAGACTGTGATCTGAGTGAGACCCCTGCTGTAGACACGAGGGAACAAACATGTTCGGTACAAGCCCCAACAGAAATCACATCATCGTCATATTTTAGTTTTTTCATTGAAACCGAAGTGAAGTCGTGACTCACATCACAGTCAGCTCTGATGTAAATGTGATGTTACACTCCACAGACTCGTATCTTTGACGCTGTGTTTTTCTCGTTGTTGAAGTAAAGCTGTTATTTTCTGGGTTGAAGCAGCGACTTTCTCTTTTCTGGTCCAAGTGGAGGATTAACGGCTCCAGATGCTGCCTGAAAGACTCTGCAGCGAGGAGAACAAAAAGGACGGGGACAGAGGGACAGAGGGACAGAGGGGGACATGTTCAGGGTTACAGCTCATACTCCGTCCTTTCTCTGCTGATTTTACTTCCTTGGTCTTTTCTCTCTCTCTCTCTCTCTCTCTCTCTCTCTCTGTCTCCCCTTTTACCCCTCTCTCATTATCTTACTCACCCCCTCTATGTTCCCTCACCCCTCACTTTCTTTCCACTCTGTTCAGTTCTCTTCCCCCTCACCCGTCTCTCTTCACACTCACTCTCTCCATCCATTTGGTGGAACAGTGCTGCTGATAATGCCTGTAATTGGAGTGACTCACACTTTTCCAGTGTGTTTGGACCAGATAAAGAATATTGTCAGCATTTTGCCGACATGGCCTCTGCTGGCAGAATTAAATGGACTCTGTTCTGTTCTGTCTGCAGCAAATTAAAAGCCTCTCAATTCATCTGTTCTCGCCCGAGGCTTACAGGGGCCTCCTATTCACACAGAAACACCGTGGAGAGGGGGAGGAAGAGAATAAGAGAGATTTCCCTCTTCCCCGAGAAGCACCAGTCTTTCGGTTTTGTTGGAGCCCGCATTCAGCCACTGTGAGATGAGACGGAGAGGGAAGGAGAGGTCAAGACTGATAGTCTAAGGAGAGGTGAAGAGCAGCTCAGAAGGTAGTTGGATTCATTATGCAGGATGTCGACTTGCAGCTGTCTCCTGCTGTCGCTTTACTTCAGCATCTCTGAGTAAGAAAAGAGCTTGTCTGCACTTGTGCGTGCATGTTAGTGTGTGTGTGTGTGTGTGAGTGTGTGTGTTTTCATGCATTCAAGCGACGGGGTTATTAGAGTGTGGATCGGAGAGTTTTTGGCTGCTGGGTCGTGGTCGTCACTGCCAGGCAACACTTCAGAATAAAGTAGCAGCAGATGGGCAAAGAAGGGACAGACTGCTGGGGCCAGAGGGGCCGGCGGTCAGAGTAAGAGGCAGAAGGTATCCGACTTGGGAGGGGGTGAAGGGACGTCACAGTTTAGTGCAGCCTGGGTCTGATTAGTTTCCTATCATCCTATCAGTGACAGTCGTGGAGGGTTAATAACAGATGTTATAAATACCTGCTGTATATGAGAAGTGACCTGAGATAACCTCTGTTATGATCCGGTGATATATCAATAAAAGTTACTTCGACCCGGAGCCACTAAGCGACTTGCTGACCGTGTTACCATGGTGACGTCGTTGGAAACATGAGATGTGAGCGGTCAGATGATTGACAGGTTTTAACCACCAAAGCTAAAGGAGGAAATGAAAATAAAAGAGCAGGTCTCTCCACTCGGTTACCATGGGCAACTTCTACTCAAGACTCCCAATCAGAAACAAGCTCATTGTCATGCCCGCTGAGAACTCTTGCTGGGTTTCGCCTGCCAGGAGTAAACACAACCTCTCTCTCCCTCTCTCTCTCTCCCCAGCTCTCTGTGGGTGTGTGTGGGATGTTGTGTCAGGGCTAAAGCCCATCCCTCTCCCATGAGCCCGTGTGCCCACACACACACCTGGCGCCTCCACGCACACACCCGGCGCCCACACACGCACAGCCGGCACTGACGCTGTGAACTGGACCCTCGGAGCCCAGCGGATCCCAGCGGAGCCAAGCGGAGCGGTGTCTAGGAGCCTGAGGATGTCAACAGAGACAGAGCTACAGCCAGCGGTCAGGCCCAGCAGCGTCAGACGGGACTCCAAGAGGAAAGGTAAGGACGCCGCCGCACGAGGGCGGAGGTTCGGCCTCAGCCCCTCCCCCTCCCAAAACAAAGAGGACTTTGTAATGCAACAACAGAGTGTTTACTAACATATAAGATCTGTATTTACATCTAAATAACAACTACACACAGTCTCAGATCAAAGAGAAAAAACAAACAATATTTTTGCATTTCTTCATCCAACATCAACATCAACATCTCTGTCTTCAGCTGTCCCAGCGCTGCACATGTGAAACTAGCTCCTAGCTAAAGTGCTGCTAATCCAGTGATGCAGTGAGGCTGCTGTTGTTAGCTAGCTAGCAGGTTTCCATTGTAAATCAATGTGGCTGTTGGCTGGTCAGTTTACATCAGTTTATTTCTTTATTTCTGGGGGTAATTTGATGCTTTATTTGATAGAATCGCCCCTTCGACCCGTCACTTACACTGTGGTTCATGACAACGCTCCTGCTGTCTCTTCCTCGACGTCTACAAAGAACAAAACGTGTTGCCGTGGACAGATTGAAGTTACGTGTGCTGCGGTTCAGGCAGCAGAGAGTCACATGAAATACTATTATAACGAATGTTGTCAGCACACTGATCCTCTGATCCGCCTCCTCCCTGTCCGGCAGTGAGTGCCAGATTTGTACAGTCCCCGCCCCTTCCAGCCAATCAAATGCTAGCATGCCTAAATCGGTCGCCATGGAGACGCAGCCTCTGGCAGGACACGTTCACTTTTCTCTGTGCCATTTTTTTTTTCCTTTTGATTGGTTAGTGCCTGTTTGTAAACTACTTTTCCTGATGCATTATGGGATACTATATATGTCCGCTGTGTAGGACACACACACACACACATTAATCTAAATAATGACGTATGAAGACGTCCAGCCTCCAGCTCAGGATTGTAACATGAGTCTGTTGAGACTGTGATGTGATGCAGCAGCTTCATATTCGTCAAGTGTGTGATGTAATGAGTGTGTGGAGATTACAATAATACTGTAAGCACTGATACCCCCCCCCACCCCCAGCTCCTCTTCTCTTCATTAATCGTGTCTTGATTTGCTGTTGATGATGGATTCGGGCTCTATGACAGGACGCAGGGCTGTTGTTCATGGTTAATTAACAGGTGTGGGGGGGGGGTTACTGTACAGTAGGTTGCCCCTAAACAGGTGCAGGGATGTTGTGGTTAGTGAGAGGCAAACAGATCCAGGTGTGAAAAGCTCCAGAGGCAGGTAGCCAGCAGGTGTATGAGAGCAAGTCCTGGGTGGTCTCAGAGCAGAGGTGAGGCCGGGGGCCAGACTGGCAGCCATCACCCAGCTGCTCGCCGCCACCTGCCCAACGACGAGAGCGACGCCTCGCTGTCTCTGAATAAGCGTCTGATTGATGTAGCAAGAACTCTGGACACCGTTGGGAAAGACACTTAATGGTTTATACACACACACACACACACACACACACAGTCTGAGTATCACCTGCAGCAGATGCCTCATTGCACACACGCCGCAGCCTCTGCAAACAAGCGTTGGACAGTGTGTGAGGGAAGGCTGAATGCCTCTCATGTCCTATTTAGAAACAGTATTGTTCTGCTGCAATGGAGATCATGTTCATCATTCACACTGCTCTCCATATTTGGGGATGTACACACACACACACACACACACACACACACACACACACACACACACACACACACACACACACTGGGACTGAAGCCCAGAAGAGCATATGAGAGGAAAGATGAATGGTTTGCCTTCAGCATTCAGACTTTCGTCTTTCTCTTCCTCTCTCTCTCACTCACACACACACACACACGCACATGCACTCACTCACACACGCACATGCACTCACTCACACACACACACACACACACACACACACACACAAACACACACCACTTTACACCTTATGTCTGCATCTCTTTTTTTAAAAAACATGGGATGTATAATTTGTTCAACTACAGATTCTTCTGATCTGGGTCATTCTTCCCAACAGACACACACACACACACACACACACACAGACACACAGACACACACACACTCTCTCTCTCTCTCTCTCTCTCAGCAGGGTGATGAAAGTCAAATGCAATCATATATCAAACACAAGTAACAGGCGTGCAGTGGGAATAGGACACTTTGATAATGTTGCTCTTGTCGTGCTTCACGTGTGTGACCTGAACGCCTCGTGTACGTACACTTCATACACATGTTCCTGTTTCTGTCCGGCCCCCGTCTCCCCGTCTCCCCGGAGCAGCTGCCTCTGAGTGAAAACACATCCACTGGATCTCTAACCGCCGCTGTCGAGAGGAGTCCCCGCAGGACGGTCCCTCATTCTCCTAATATCCTTCCTCATCCTCTTCCTCCTCCCACTGGTCTGACTCCTAAATGACCTTCCCCGGATGAGTGAGACACGGAGGAGAGACCGATCATGAAGAGAGAGAGAGAGAGACTAATGAGTCAATGTGACGGAGAGCTGTTTAATCTCAGGCCTTTGTTTCACAGTTCTGTGGAGAAGAATGTAATAAGAAAAGACTCCGGCACTGCGGCGTGTCACACATTAATCACAGATGGTGTGTGTGTGTGTGTGCATGTGTGTGTGCACGCACACGCCTGGGTCGATGCATCATTGTGTATCTGTGGTATCTGTGAGTGCACGTGTTTTTATTTCTTACACACAGTTATGTTTCCTCTGCGAGCTCAGAGGTCGTTCTCCTGAGAGCACTGTTTCCTCCGCCCTGAGGTTTTTATTGAATTACCATGACAAGGTAGAGATAACCTTTGACCTGTAGCATTTACATGACCTGAGCTGAATGACTGCAGCTTTCTGCTTCCTCTGATGGTAAATTAGTCTTTTCTTTTTGGTCAGTCTAATAGTCTTTATTAATCCTCAGTGAATCCAGAGAGATTCCACCTCTCTGTTCTCCCCCGCCTCCCTCCTCCACATCTTCTGTTTGTGTGGCTGCACGTCATGATGGATCCAATATTAATGTCGGTGGCCGTCTAGACCTTGTTCCACATCTGTTGGGCTTGTGACCCTTTATACCCAGTAACAACAACCCCCCCCCCACAGAAGCTACACCTGTGTGACGGTGTAAGAGACGAGGTTTAGAATAGAAAGACCTGCAGAACTTCACACAACAAAGAAAGAAGCGTTTTGTGCAGCAGAAATTTATTGTAAAGGTCTGTGTCCATGTGTAGTGTGATTATAGATCAGCTCTAGCTTCTATATTAATACTGTGAAAGTATCAAAGCCTCAGTCCACAGAGAAATGCACACAGCCTGTATTCAGAAACTGAGCCTTAAAACCAGCCGTCAGGACTTCTGGAACTTTGTGATGTCACAACAAAGCAGTCACCAAGCCCCGCCCACCTGGACCCACCATCCAAACCTTGCAGGATTTGGTTTCTCTGAGTGTTTTTACCTGAAATCTGCTTTATTTTTATTGGATCACTCAGAAAACAGTCAGCCAATCAGAAGAGAGGCTCAGAGCCTCCTCTCCTCTGATTGGCTCACCGACCTGTTGTTACTAGAGCTCCAGAGAGAAGCCTGAGAGAGGAGATGTGAAACTACACTGAGATGGTTTTTATATCTTCTGATGGATCAACACTTCAAATAAAACACAGAAGAAGAAGAAACACGGAGCTTTAATCACTGTGCAGTTTGTTCAGACGTGTAGTTTCTTTTCTTCGTTGGTGTTGTTGCGGTGGATAGTCAGAGTCCAGTGAGATGCCCAGAGTGGATGTTTGTTAAATAGTATAACTGCCTGATATTCTTGGTTATCAATAAAACATGCCGTTGACAGTCTGCCAGTACAAACACTTTTCTGTGTATATGGAATCAGAGCAGCGAGCCAGTTTGACATTAGTGAGGAGCCCAGCAGCTGCAGACAGTTTCAGCTCCACTTAAAACTTTTTTCATCTTAACGTCTGCTGATGAAGCCTGATGAACCGCGGACGCTTTCCTCTGGGGAATCTTTGAATCTCCTCTCCCGCTCTCCGCTGTGACATTACAGCGTTCAGATTTCAATAACAATGGCGCCGTGTTTACTGTAATTAGAGCATACTTGCTGGATGTATGCTCTGCTGTTGCTCCAGCCTCCAGAGGATCTATGGTTTTCTAGTCAAAACAGGGCACAAATATTGTTGTGTAAAGCGAGCGGCGGAGACACAGCGGGTTTTATTTTACAGTATTCTAATTCAGCTCGGTTGTGTAATAGAAAAACAGATTGTTTGCAGGATTCATTCACAGCTGATGCGGCGTGAAGTTCAGCTTGTGCAGCGACTGCATTCTGACAAAAGCATGACTAAGTTCACGACAGTGAAATCTCACTGGGTGAACAGAAGTCTGTGAGTCTGGCGTTGTGCCTGCGTTGTTGTTACAGTACGTACGGACGTCCTCAGGGTTGTGAAGGAGGACGTGAGCGGTAACCAGCGGACATCCGGGTCATCTGGACCATCGTAAACGCGGCAGCACTGACCGCTGTGACTGAGGATTGGGAAGTGTTGTACTGATAACGTGTGTTCGAATCAAACGTTCACTGATGTCCGTCTGCGACATCAAATACAAGTCAGAACAGCTGCCGCCGTCTGTCGGTCGTTGACGAGCGAAGACGCCTCTCGGATGAGACGTGAACCGTCTCCCATCAGGTCCGGTCGCCTTTGATTCGACCGTCCTTGGACTCTGCTGCCGTCGACTCGTACAGACAACCGTCATCACCACTCTGAAACATCACGACTGCGCCTCAGTGGGATTTGGCTGAGGATGTGTGGGAGGGTGTTTCTACGATGTAGCTGGCAGCCGGCGGCATGAAAAGAGTGGTTAAGGGTTATAGCTGTGCAGCTGTTAGCCTCTGTGTGTGTGTGTGTGTGTGTGTGTGTGTGTGTGTTTGTCGATATGTGTGGATACGTGTGGGTGTGTGTTTGCTCGTCTCTGGTGTGCGATTAGCAAACACATTATCTTCTTGGTGTGGATATTATGCACACATTCAGTCTATCTGGCACAATCACTGCAGCCATT